CATAAAGATCTCTTCCTCAAGCTCACCATTTAAGAATGCTGTAGTAACATCTAGTTGCTCTAGTTCATAATCCTTAGAAGCAACTAATCCCAACAATGYACGAATAGATGTATGTTTAACAACAGGTGAATAAATATCAGTATAGTCGATACCTGGTATTTGACTATACCCTTTTGCAACCAAACGAGCTTTGTACCTTGGCTTATCACCCGGTTTAACGGCCTCCTTGAGTTTATATACCCACTTGCACTTGACTGGCTTCTTCCCTTCCARAGCCGGGAYAAGGTCCCAAGTGCCATTTTTGTGCAAAGATTCCATCTYRCTRTGCATAGCCACCATCCAACTATYCGAGTCGGCAACCAAAATAGCCTCATCATAACATGTAGGCTCTAGCATAGACTCTATTTCATCAGCAACCGTAAGAGCATAAGCGACACAATCTGCATGAGCAWACCTCCTGGGAGGTACTATATTTCTCCTTGGCCTATCCCTTGCAATAGACGGACTAGGAGCAAGTGGTGAAGATGGTGAGGAAGTCTCACCATCCACTTGTTCGTCGGTCGAAGCAGGTACAGACTRATCACTAGTGACCGGTGTAGGAACCGGTGAAGAAACTAGTGGAACGGTWGAAGATGTTGTCAACTCCACCTCAACTTGAGATGTCTTCTTACTTGCTTCCGATGGTTTCTCAACAGTAGATGTCGAGCTAGTAGCTCGATGAATAATGAAGGTTTCATCAAAAGTCACATCCTTTGAAATGATAACCTTCTTTAGCTCAGAACTCCATAACTTGTAGCCTTTCACACCCGGTTTATATCCAAGAAACACACATTTCAAAGCTCTCGGCTCTAGTTTCCCGTTGTCAACTCGTGCATACGTCGGACAACCAAACGGTTTCAAATCTGTGTAGTCGGCAATTTGACCAGACCAAAGCTCAAATGGGGTTTTCTTCTCAATGGCTCGAGAAGGTGACCGATTGATCACATAACATGCAGTGGCAGCCGCCTCCGCCCAAAAAGACTTTGGTAGCTTAGAATGAGAGAGCATACACCTTACCTTCTCGAGAATCGTGCGGTTCATCCTCTCGGCCACACCATTTTGCTGCGGAGTGTGGACCACCGTGCGGTGTCGTGTAATGCCTTCCTTTCGACAGTAAGTATTGAAATCCTCCGAGCAAAACTCAAGACCATTGTCGGTGCGCAAATACTTTATCTCCTTACCCGACTGCTTCTCAATCATCACCTTCCAATCTTTAAAAGTTGAAAATACATCTCCTTTATGCTTTAGAAAGAAAGACCATACCTTTCTAGAATAGTCATCAATAATCGTAAGCATATAGGAAGCTCCACCTACGGAAGTAACCCGAGCCGGTCCCCATAGATCCGAGTGGATGTAATCGAGTGGCCCTTTTGTCGTGTGTTTTCCACTCATAAATCTCACCCGCTTTTGYTTGCCATAAACACATTCTTCACAAAATTCTAGCTCAACAATTTTATCTCCTCCAAGTGCACCTCTTCGACTCAATTCAGACATGCCATGAAAACTCATATGGCCAAGTCGAAGATGCCATAAGCGTGATCGATCCGTATCCGAAAAACTTTTAGAAACAACCGCTGCATCACCGGTAACCGTTTGACCATCCAAGATGTAGAGATTTGAGGACTTACGTTTTGCCTTCATAATACTTGTATCTCCTTTGAACACCTGGAGTAAGCCATTCTCGCCAATGAATTTATAACCCTTAGCTTCAAGAGTACTAAGGGATATAAGATTTCTCCGAAGATTGGGAACATACCTGACATTCCCCAAGGTTCTAACAACTCCATTGCACATCCGAATTTTAATCGTGCCCAATCCTTTGATAAGACATGAGGCATCATTGCCCATCATAACCGAGCCACAATC